TAACTATAGCTTTAGCTACACAGGAGGTAATAAAGGCAGCGCAGGTAGAGTAAGCGTAAGTAGTAGGTTTTAACTTTAACTAAGATATAGGTTAGTAGGGATATAGGTATAGTTTAGATCTTTAGGGTTGTATAATCTTATAACTTAAGCTATAGTAAAGATTATAGTTAGGTAGATAGAGTTACAGAGCTCTATCTAGATAATATCTACACGCGTAAGCGCAGGCTAAATAAGGAAGGCGCGCTAGTTAGTATCTAAAGGGTAAGCTAATTTAACCCTTTAGATATATAACGCTCTAATTAGCTATACTACCTACTAACTATAAGTGTAACTATAATAATAAAAGATCTACCTATACCTAGGGGGTGTGTTATAGGAGGGATATTAACTAGATTATAGAGCATCTTAATCTAATTAATCCTAATTAATACCCCTATATAACCTACTATCTAATTAACTGCTAGCTTACTACTAAGTGCCTAATAAAAAGCAGGAGCTCTAGTAAGGAAGGTTTACTAATTATTTACCTTCTAGTAAGGGTAGCTAAAGCTCTATATATATAAGTCCGATCGTAGTAGATATAATCTAATAATCTATCTCCCAAATCATTCCTAACCTTAGTGATCTAAATTTCCACATGAAGTTTTATAAGGTAGCTAATAATTAGGTAGTAGTATCTATACTATTACTATCTATAACTAACCCCTCTCTAGCCCCCCCTAAACTATTATTTATATTATCCTAACGCCTCTATATCTCTTAGTAATAGTAGTAACGCTTACGCGCAGCGCGGGTAGGGGAGGACTTAGTTAACAAGTATAAGTAATAGTAGTAGTAATAGTAGGAGGAGGGTAGTGCTTTAATAGTTTGCTAACGTGTAGCACCCTAGGCCTAAAGAAAGCAAACGTTAGAATATATAAAAGGGAACAAAGGGAAATTAATACTAATAATAAGAGTCTTAATACCGCAGGTAGTGCGCTTAGCAGCACTCTTAAGCCTATTAATATAAAGGTTAGTTTAGGCCTAGGTCTTATTTATATACTAGTTAATACACTAGAAGGTAACACTAGTAGTAGCAGTAAGCTATATAACGTTGTTATTGCTATAACTACTATATAAAGGCGTAATAGCAGACTAAAGTAGAAATACTAGAGCACTAGTAGTAGGTAGAATAATAGCACTAAGCTAATACTAATTATAGGCGCGTAAGTAGGTAGTAGGGGCAAGTAGGGTAATAGTATTATTAGTCTAAGCCCTTAATATAAGATCCTTAAAATAATAGTAGAGCTAGTAGAACTATAGTACAAACTAGTAATAGGTGCCTTTAGTAGGTTTCCTTATAAAGGTGCTAAGGGTCCCCTTCTTTATAATATAGAGGCAATCCTCCTAGTAACTATAATAAAACTAAAGCTAGTTATAAAGGGCTTAGCAAACGTTAGGATTATTAGTAAGGATAGCTTCTAATTAAGTATAGGTCTTATAGCTATAATAGTAGGACTTATATAAGCGCCCTAGATATAGTTAGAACTTGCTATAAAGAAAATAAAAATTAAGGGGAACTTACTACTACCTTCCTAATAGTTACACTTACTAAAGAGATAAAGCTAGTTAATATACTAATTATAGGGAAGTAGCTTTATAAAACTACTATTATATTCCTTATTATCTAAGTTACTAGAAATAATAAAGCTACTAAGCAACTATATTTAGGGAGGTATATGCTAAGCAAAAAGTTAGTATAGGAAATATAGGGAGAATATTAAAAGTACGCACCTTATCTTAGTAGGCCTAGCGTAGGGTCTAACCGCCTTATAGTAGATCCCTACTACTAGCACTAGTAGTAGTAGATAGGGATATAATAAGGGCTAGATAGGGGGATTTAATAGAGAAAGAGTAGAGAGAAGGGCTAATTAGTAGGGAAAATCTATTATATAACAAAGTAAGTTTAGGAAATTTATAGTAGGGTAGAATAGCTATATTAGAACTTTTATAGTAGGGTGCTAAAATAAGCGTATAGACGCTACGCGCGTATACTACTTAATATATAGGCCTGTTACAAATTAGGAAGGAATATAAAGATACTATAATAAAACTAAAAAATATAGTAATAAAGCCTAATACAGATTATAGAGGATAAAGATATAACCCTAGACCCCTAGAAAGATAATTTCACGATAGTTTATAAGGGAAGGTTAGGGGTATATAAAGGGCTTAGGCTTATACCTAAGCCTAGGTCTAATATAAGACAGACTAAGTCCTACACTACTACTAAGCAAACACACTAGATACCTATATAAAAGGCGTAGAGGGCTTACCTCTCCTTTAAGATACTAAATACTATTATTAACGCTTATTGCATTCTCCCTTAAGGCTAGTCTATAACACCGCCTAGCTCTTAAAAAGGATAGGAGAGAACGTTTACTAGGAGTTTAGAATTATTAGCTAATATACAGCAGCAGGCCTATAACTATAGGATGCTAATATAGAGGTAATAAATAAATTACACAACTCTTTACCTAGACTACTTAAGGAACTTAATAAGACTCTAGACACTAAGATAATAATACTAGAAGAAGAGGGTATTACTAAAGATAAGCATACTATAGTTAAGAATAAAGCGCTATATTAGTGCAAAAACTAACGCTCTACACTATAATTAATTACTACTAGGATTAGGAGTAGCGCACTTAACAACACTAAGCAAAGGAAGCTAGTTAAAGTATAGTACTATAAAGTTACTAATTACAGCACTATCTAGGACGCTAAGGGGAGGATAGTGTAGGATTTAAATTAGGTATACTTTAGCCACTTAAAGTTTATTACTAGCAAGATAGGGCTCCACACTTAGACTCTAAACGCAGAGGCAAGCAATAGATAGCTAAACGTGCTATACTATAAGCCTAGAGAATAGGGAAATTTGCAAGCTAACCTAGTTACTATAGTAGCTTTTACTAAGCTGTTTAACTAAGATTACACCTCTAAGGATTTACAAGCTTATTGCTACTAGCCTGAAGGTCACACAACGGCTATCCATGTACTCATGCGCTCGGGTAGTTTGAGTATCATGTGATTTGCCACTGCTACATCCTGGCTATTTTCATAGCACAAGACAAGTAGCGTGATCCTCAAACTAGCCGAGATAACTAGTAATTCAAAAGTATCCTAGCGATAGTCCAATTAGCGGTACAAAACTATGGTATTTCTCTCCACTCAATCCGCTCGCACATTGATCTTACCGCGTTTGGTTTTAAAAAGATAGATGCCAACAAAAGAAGGCCAAGTGCATGACAAGACTTGATCACCTCCACCACAATCTCAAACGCAGATCAGTTTTCATGCCTCGCTGGGAACAGACCAAGATATCCTATTATCATTCAATAAATTTGTTCTTGAGGCCTTCCACCACGCATAAGAGTACTCCGTGTAAACTCTTCACTTGTCAAGTCCCCAAGAGGTCTTGCAGAAAACATTCGCTGATGAGCGAGACTTTTCACAGAAAGACATTGGCTTATGGATTGGATTGTGGTGGGTTATGGTATACACAACAACAATTGTCAACTCTTCGGCAAGCCATCATACTCTTATAAGATGAGTCATGTAGAACTGGGCTCGGGCTTTCTCTTCAAAAAGTCCTAGTGAGCCCAGACACTCAGCCATGTTTACGGTAAATGAATCTTTTGAAGCAAAAATATTCTGCCGAGAGCACGATGGTATCAGAACGAGTGACATGTCTTGTGACATGTAGCTCGCAATTTTCTTTTCTCCCCCTTGCAAATTTCTGTTTCGGCCTTCACATAACCTCGCCAGACAGGCACATCATATAGTCCAGGTGTTTCCGAAGCCACCTATGAATTCTTTCCATTGGCCTCTTTGATTCACAGATCCCTCACTCGACCTAATCATCGTACTCATGTCCCACAGATTACGTTACAACGCACCAAGCATATGTGTAATGCGAGGAATAATACCAATCTGCGAACTGGGTTTTACCACAGTTGCCCCTTGGTACATGTATGCTCTTCCCTCCTCTTGATATTTTCCTCTCTACATACGCACACACTTTGGGTTGTCTCGAGATTTCATCATGAAACCTCAGACACAGCAGCAGACGCAGGACGCAGGACATTGAGTGGAAATCCCATGCTTGTTTACTCCCGACCTGCGACCTCTGCAGCTCCCTTAGTCATACACTGTATCTCTTTATGTTTCCTTCTAACCAGTTTGCAAGCCACAATCCCATCCGTTGACCAGATTTTGTTTTTCTCTTGTCGAAAATCAGGTCCTCACAATACCATGTTGACTGCCTGTTATCGCCTCGAACACGGCCGACCCCGCCCTCCTCTGCCCACGCATGAAAGACTGTTCATTTCGTTTCCACATTCCCAGATCGAAAATCCTACACTCGGGTTGTAAAGGGCAAGAGCGAGAGCAGCATCAATATTTATCGTCTGAGTTTATACAACCTTGTGCTTAGTGTGTAAGGCACACACACGACGCCAGACATCCACGGCCTTTCACCCGCTTTTGTTTTGACGTGTCACTCAGGATATGAACGCAAACCCCAGAAGGAGCAGGCATAAAATAAGCCAGTCATCCATGCAAACGTTGAAATAAAGATTTCGAAGGACCCGGAAGCGCGTTGTGTCGAATTTCCGCGATTTGAGAGATACGTTTTCTTGTAGAGGGAGATTTTGAGAGTAGGGATGAGTCTGGCGCATTTTTGGACATATGAAAGAGACTAAGGGATTTTTACATGATGAGATATGGAGATGGTGGGCATCATCAAAAATCGGGAAACACGTTTTTGAGGACCAGGAAGCACGAGTGTGGTGTGAAAAAGGAAGGGAAATGAAAAGATCAACGCTTTGTATACCTAACCCCAGCCCTATACAATTCTTTTGCTTCCTGGAACACATCGACCCAACCAGTTTCCCGCAATCACATGTCTCGAAACCACCCACTAAAGCGCCACGCACGAACGCCAAATATGCGATGGAAAACTACCCCCATGTGCCACCCCCACCCCTCCCCGCCCTTCTCTGCGCACTCAATCTCCAATCATCCTCGCCTGCAAACTTGTTATGTAGGGGCTGAATCCTCTCCGCTTTCTTCCTCTTACTTAGCTTATCCGTTGGCGCAACCTTGAAAAACGTCGGCGCAGCCTCAACCAACCACTTCGGCTCAATCGCAGAGCAAACATGCATATACTCCTTCGTCGTCTCGACCAAGGAATGATAAATCACGTGTTCAGCTGGCTTACCGAAGAGCGCAGATGAAGGATGCAGGTAGACGGGTGTCCCTTCAACCAGCGTCTTGTAGCCTTCGGATGGGTCTTTACGCGCCGAGTTGCGGAAGAAGCCGCTGCAGAGGGCTTGCCGGACTTTAATGGTGTTGCGACCGCAGGAGACAACTTGGTGTTTGTGCCTGGCCATGATTTGGAGGAGTTGGTTGCGGACGTCCCTGACGCGCTGCAGGTTGCGGGGCATGATGAAGTTTTCGTGGCACCAGGGTGTGCTGAAGCCGCCTGCTTTCCAGCCGTTGTAAACGTTAAGAAGGGTGATATGGTCGCCGGAAGGATCGTTGAATTTCTGCTTCTTTTGGTCGGCTTGTTGCTGCTTGTCGCGTGGGCGGTGGAAAACGTTTTGGGTGGCACTTATCATGGCGACGATGGTGAGGACTTCGTCGGAGCATTGGAGGTCGACGGACCAGATAAGTGATTTGGAGAGAGCGGGGTCCATGGGGAAATCGGCCATTTGGCGGCCGAGACGAGTGAGGAGGCCTTCGTCATCAAGGGCACCGAGTTGGTATAGCTCCTCGAGGGCTGTAAGCATGGTATTTGTTGGAGGTGGGTCCATAAAGTCAAAGTGAAGGAGGTCATTGATTCCCATGGCTTTGAGCATGAGAATCGTGTTCGACAGGTTCTGGCGTTGAATCTCAGGAATTGTAGTCGGTAACATCTCGTTTTGGAAGGCAGCTTCAGTATACAATCGGAAGCATTTTCCTGGACCGGTTCTGCCAGCTCTTCCACTTCTTTGACGAGCTTGTGCTTGCGAGATAGGTGTGATTTGCAATCGGTCCATACCCAACTTTCCGTCATACGAGCTTTGTTTGACAAAACCTGGATCCACAACGTAATAGATCCCGTCAATGGTCAAACTGGTCTCGGCGATGTTAGTGGCAATGACGACCTTACGTGCACCATTAGGCGCTGGCTCAAAGATACGCGACGCGACTTCTGAGGGTAGCGCTCCATAAATTGGCAGAATCATAAGCTCAGGTACATTGGGCCCTAAAGCCTTCATCCGCTCTGAAATGATTTCACAAGAGGAGTCGATTTCCTCCTTACCAGTCAGGAAGAGCAAGATATCACCTGGCGGCTCTGTCAAGTGAATCTGCATGACCGTCACCAGCGCTGCATCCAGATAATCTGACTCTGGCTCTCGGCTGTACATAACCTCGACCGGGAAAGTTCGCCCTGGAATTGAAAAGATGGGACACTTGTAAAAGTACTCCGAGAACTTATCGGCATCCAGCGTAGCGCTAGTGACAATAAGCTTCATGTCTGGTCTTCGCTTGAGTGTCTTCTTCAGCAATCCAAACAACACGTCTGTAGCGATTGTACGCTCGTGCGCTTCGTCAAGCATGATACAGCTGTACTTTGACAGCATAGGATCTAAAAGAATCTCTCGCTGCAGAATACCGTCCGTCATGTACTTGATCTTAGTGTCTGGCGACGTCTGATCCTCGAATCGAATGGTGTAACCAACTTCGTTTCCGAGCTTGCAGCCAACCTCCTCGGCAACACGTTTGGCGACACTCATAGCAGCGACACGTCTAGGTTGCGTACATCCAATCATCAATTCATTAGCATAGCCTGCTTCTGCAAGGTACTGGGTCATCTGCGTGGTTTTTCCGGATCCTGTGTCACCAACAACGATCAAAATTTGATGGGCTGCAACCGCCTCAAGAAGTTGCTTCCGAAATTTGAAAACGGGGAGAGATTCCCGTTGCTCCTTGATGCTCATGTTTGTACGCTTACCAAACGATGTGTCTTTGCTTCCAGCTGAGATTTTCTTCCATTCTGGGAGTGCTTCGGTGGGCTGATTTGTACGGGTATTGCGCAAATCGCTGGCAAATTGTCGTTGTTGTGCCATGGGATCGTTCCACTGACTGCTCAAGTCGACATTCGCGGCTTCCTTGGCAGCCTTTTCCTGGGCTTCTTGTTGTCTCAAATCTCTTCGTTCCTTTGCTAGAGTATCACCAGCCATGGCAGCGCGATTCAGCGACCCATCGGGTGCTTTGACGACTCGAATGGGCGAGAGTTCCAGCGACTGTTTGGTCTGGCCCGCCAAAAATGGTGGCTCCTCTTCTCGCACCTCGATATCGATGTCCTCCTCTTCTTCGAACCCTCCTTCGCCGTTGATATGCGCGTTGAATTCCTCGTCAATATCAGGGTAGTCAGATTTTGGTATCACACCAGATGCAATGAGTTGTTTAATTTCCCATCTCTCTGGTGATGTCATTCTCTTTCGCACGCCATTATGGCGACCGTTGAAGCCCTCTTCTACTACTGGCACAGCACTGTCAAGGCCAGGAATGCCTCCGATGCTCTGTGAGTTTGCGCCAGATGCCAAAGATGCAATGCGTTTGTTAGGTGCAAGGTCGTGACCTGTTCTTTGGTCCACTTCCTTCATGGACAGTGATATCTTGCCGCCTTCCATCTTGATGACCTTGACCTTGACTTCCTGCCATCTTGAAACGAGGTCAGACGGGTGGTTGACACGAGCACCTTCCAGCATCTGGGTCACGTGCACAAGTCCGTCCACTTTGCCTCTGACTCCCTGTAAATTCACAAAGACACCAAAGTCCTTGATGCCCGTGACCTTGCCATCGTAGACTTTGTATAGTAGTGGCTCGTCGTCGAGCTCTGGCGTCGGTGGCCGGCGAAACTCGTCAAGGTCCTCGTCCCGGTACTTTTTACGGCTCCGTTGCTTGTTTGAGGGTTTGACAGTCCTGGTGCGTCCAAACTCGTCCTCGAACACTAGCTCGTCGTTTCGCGTGTGGCGGCCCCGCCAGCTGTGTGAGCGTGACGGCGATTCCGAGGGTGACGGGTTCTTGCGCCTGTGTCGTTTGCTTCTGGCTACGTCGTCGTCGTCGCTATCGATTGGGCTCATGCTCCTCTTACGCGACCGCTCCTTGGGCTTGCCAGGGCCCTTCCCTGCCAGGCCTTCGAGCATGGCGAATGTGTCGTCGAGCGCATCGCCCTTTGTTGCACTCTTGGCCGGCGCATCGTCGGCAACGTCGTAGTTGACCTCTTTATCTGGAATCGCGAGGCCCTTGAAGACGCGTGTCTTGCGATCAGTGTCGTCGCCGCCACCCTGCCCGTTTGCGCCTGCCTGATTTCCATTTGCGCCCTTGCTCTTGTACTTGGGATGCAGCGTCAAGATCAGACGATCGATGCTCTCCACCAAGCTCTGGGGAAACTCTGCGCCCATGGCCTCGAGCTGTTCCTTGAAGTCTGCGACGCCTTTGCATTTCGCGTGCTGGTCGATGACGAATTCGGCGAGCGTCTTGTCTGATACGCCTACATGGTTTTGGATTTCGGACGTGACCTTGGACACGAGAGACAAGAACTCGAGGTTGGCGAGATCGTCCATGGCGGCAGTGTGGCCACACGGTGGGCCGTCTGCTGAAAGCGTGGTGAGTGAGGTGTAATCAAAAGTTCCTACAAGGCCGATGCGGCTCGTGTCGTATGTACCATGGTGCACGGGCCTGTGTTAGCGTACCTAGATACCTAAGAGTCGAAACATCCGGGGCTGACTATTGGGCTTGTCTCCGCCCTGCAGCTTTCTTTCTACCTGTCTCAACCAAGCCCTATCAATATCAGTATCAACAGGTGACTGTAAAGCTGTATTCAGCTGCTTTCCCGAGATATTGCAGATATATTGCAGTCGCGTCTTCGTCACGATGAGCCCCTCACGGTACTTCTCCGACGCTCGACTTCGAAAAATAGGGTTTTCTGCGGCCCTCATCACGCTCTTTGCGGAATACAACCTCTTTCTCATGCACAAAGGCACCCATCCTATGTCCGGCCGGAAAAGCAATGTCAGCGAATCGAACCAAAAACGCGGCGACGAACCTAAAGCCCAAATTACGACCCTGAACGGCCTACCGATACCACATTTTGTAAACCTTTTCAAAAGAGATTGAGTTCAATGGAAGCTCGTCTTGTATGCGAGACAAGTACGCCCTGGCCATATTAGGATCTGAGATGGAAATTGGCATAATTCGAAAGCTACTTCAGTGCACATGTGGATCTAAGACACAATCCAGCATACCGCGAGGCGGCTGGAGGTTGGCCATCACACTATTACACGGTTGAGCGTCACAATTTCGAGGAATTCAAGGACCAAAGTCAATCAGCAACCACCGTGGCTACAAGAATAGTGGTGTACAGCTAGAATCTTTGAAAACCAAGAGTTTGCTCTTTGAAATCGAATCCATCTCCGACTACAGTGCGGTATGGTGATCTCAATATCAGCAGTTTGGAACAATGGACAGCGATGTGAGAGAATTGAACTTGTCGTGGCCAGTAAACAGACTCAACGATGGCACAGATATATAGGTGCCCTCGAAGCCATCGTCAGCGCTTGTAAGACGTTCACTTCTATCGGCTGCAAGGAAATCAACTGTGTGTAACTGATACACGCTTTGGTTCCGAATCCATACCCCATGCCTGACTTGTCAATGTTCCATACGAAGAAACTGCACTGGTATTTGGATTTGACAGAACGGATCAAGGCGTTGGTGTCGCAATATGGCGATATCACTCATGCTACCATATCGGGTTAGCGCTTAATTTCACCGACATCAGCACAGACAAAAGACTCAAATGTCGTGTGAAGATGAGCATCAGCCCTGGGCTCAAGATATGGAGATGGATTGGGATCAAGATATTGTCAAACAGTCTATACGAAATAAAGCTTTGCCATAATCCAGGAATTCACAATACAAACCAACTCCTGAACAACCATGTCGGATTGCAAGGCTCTGTCTCAACGTCTTGATCAAAATTCTGATTACAAATCTACATTAATCACCCAAAATGAATGCATATGTCGCCATTCAACCCCAGACCTGACTCCATGGCTTCCGAGCTTGTTCGCCTGCTCCCTGAAATCGGTTTCCAATGTGAGCGTGTTACGCAATCCGACCTGATCGTTTCAACAGCTTCAGATGATGTGCTCACTCGATGGTGCAATCGGTCAACCGGAGTAAGCATGTAGATGTGCTGATGTAGTACATAATAACAGGTTGTAATATAAAGATTTCTCTCTTTTTTTCTTTACAATTACCAGTGTTTCTAAGGCTTGTAATGAAGAGATACGCTATACGACTTGTCGTTTAGCCCTATTTGAGCTTCAATTCCTACGTTCCATTTATGCACTCTGATCACACCTTTCGAAACTCCAGTACAGGCATACATGCGCTGACACTTTCGAGATCTGGACATTGCAATTCACACGTTCAATTGGGCTTAACTGTTCAACACACATCGCCACACAATGTCAACATGGCGCCGGGGCTCGTGGAACCTCAGTCTCAATCTCCCTACAACTCCACATCAGCCATAGCCCCTAAGAGCAAATCTGGAAGCGTTCACAACTACGTTCCTGGGCGAACCGTAGTCAAACAACACAACGAACCATACGAGCATGAAGACCTTCTGCCCGGCTTTCCAGAAATCAAGTGGTCTCCCTACAAAGACATCCCATATATTGAAAAGGGCAATCTTGGTGACACAAATTTCAAGCATCTTCTCGCCGACGCCACAGATGTCTTCGACTACAATTCCAAGATCGGCACTGAAATTCATGGTGTCGACCTAGCCAACCTTACAGATCTACAGAAGAACGACCTTGCAAGACTCATCTCAACGCGTGGTGTAGTCTTCTTTCGAAACCAGAAGAACCTCACCATTGATAAGCAAAGGGAATTAGGCCAGTGTTTTGGCTCCCCTGCACATGCACGCCACCACCGCGGTGCCACGACGAGAAGGTTTAGAAGACGTACACGTTATCTTCACTGGCGAGAACAACCCGGATCTACGAGCATTATTCACACAAACATTTCACTGGCACTCTGACGTACATCTCTCTCTCCATCCCATCCAATCACCTTTCCCATCAAACCAACCAGCTAAACCACCTAGGTGACCTACGAAACCCAACCTCCATCCTACACCTCGCTCAAACTCCTCACCGCCCCACCCCCTGGCGCGGGAGGCGACACTATCTGGTCCTCGCAATATGCAGCCTATGACATGCTCTCTCCCGCCCTGCAAACCTACCTCGAATCCCTCACCGCCCTGCACTCCGCTGACCTCCAAACCCAAGGCACCCGCGCCCTTGGCCGCGCCGTACGCCGCGACCCCATAACTACCGAGCACCCCCTCATTCGCACAAACCCCGTTACCGGGTGGAAGAGCATCTTCTTCAACCCAGGGTTCGTGACGAAGATTGTAGAAGTGCCGAAGATGAGAGTGATTTTGTGATTGCGTTGTTGAATCAGGTTGTGGCGACGAGTCCGGAAGTTCAGGTGAGGTTTAGGTGGGGAGAGGGGGATGTTGCATTCTGGGATAATAGGTGCACGGTATGTTTGTCCTTTTTTTCGAGACTTTCCCCTCTTCAATCACTTATAGTGGTGGACTGGATTGCTAATAATGTGTAGAATCACTCGGCTTCATACGGCTTTGCGCCTCATCGCCGTCATGCGGTATGCGTGGCGGTGCAGGCGGAGAGGCCGGTTTTAGACCCGCAAAGTAAAAGTCAGGAGGAGGATCTAAGTCAGAAGTTTGGGGTTCTCAGGACAAGTAAGGATGGGAGTGGGGTTGTGAAATATAACGATTGAGTTTGCTGCAAGAGTGGGTAGGCGGGTGAAGAGGAGCAATAGGTGGGCTGGAGGTCGAGTGGGTACCGTGGCTGCGCGCGTGATGGCCGTGTTCGCGTAATGGCCATTGTTGCAGGAAGGATACCAACCGGATCACGGAGCATCTTGATCCGATCAATCGATCTAATCCCTAATTAATATTTTTAATCCAGACCCCTATATAATTTATTATCTAATCTACTGCTAGCTTACTACTAAGTGCTAATATAGAAAAAGGAGCTCTAGTAAGAAAAGCTTACTTATTAATTACCCTCTAATAAGGGTAGCTAAAGATCTATTTACATAAGTCCTAGTATAGTAGATATAATCGAATAATCTATCTCCTAAATTATTCCTAAGCTTAGTGATTTAATTTTCCACAAGTTAGAATAATTAATTCCTATACCTATAGGGCTTATATAAAAGGATAAGAGAAATATATCTATCTTTCTATAGATACAGTGCTACTGAACCGTTAGGGAGAGTAACCCATTCAAACAAGGAGAAGGAGGAGGGCTTGGACGTGGTAGTAGATAACTTATGATAATCGAATTAGATTAAAAGGAGAATCAAGGGGAAGAAATTTACATTAATAAGATGTGTTGAAGAATCAAGTGTTAAGTTGCCTAATATTCTATCCTATAATCCTCCCCTCCTTTATACGTCCAACCCACCCAAGTTAGGTTTCAACCCATCCAACTCAGGTTAAACCTCATTTACAACCGAACCCTTCGTGCCACGGCACACTACCTACATATCTAGGGGATTTAGGCCAAAAGAATGTTTAGTCTAGGGGTTTTGCCCTAGGAACTAACCTAGGTAGGTACTTATTATAACTATAAATAGCTAAGTTATTATATAGCGCAGCCTGTACATATAACAAGCCCTAATTAGTTAGGTTATTCTACCTACCATGTTTCATGTAATAGGAGACCGGATGGTTCTAGTATATCTATTCTAGAAAGTCCCTGCGCTCTGTATGCTAGACTCGGTGAGTGGTTCTATTCTTATGCCTCTATTTAATAACTAGACCTAACCTTCTAAATAATGCTATACATTATAGACCTATCATAGTTAGCATAGACCTTAGAGGGAAGGTGTTTAGAGATTCCTTACTTCCCCATCAAACTTAAACACTCGTGTGGTACCTTCGTCAAGACCATCTAATTTAAAAATGAAAGATCTGCCATTTTGCGCGCTTATGGAATGGTGATGTGTTCTTGTAGGTTCTTCGCCAACGTAAATAGCAGACCAAAATGTAGCTTCTAGGCGGATCGGGGCATGAATAAAGATTTCGACGTATGCTGAATAAGTTCGACCGTCACCATCAGACCTCCAGGAGCGATAGTCGATGCGGTGGTCATTGTCAGGTCCCCACTGTCGGTAGGGAATTGTCCTCTCAGGAGGGGCTGGAGCTAGATGGGTTGAGCTGTATCTGGGGCCGCTAACTATTCCGCCTGCGACGTCCAGGTTGGCCTGCAGCACTGTCTGGGTACGGAGTGTGTCCAAACAGACATCCCAGAGTGATCCTCGTGGTTGTAATTCAGAAAATTCTTCTGAGCGAGGCAAGCAAAATGCGATTGTAAAGAAGAAAAAGATAACAAAGATTGAATGCATATTGCACGAGAGAGTATGTAAAAGTATAGATAGAGTTTTAGAATTCTGATAAAAATTCGTTCATGGACTGCCAACTTAAGAACCTATGATCGTGTCTTTATAGCGTGGGTATAATGGGCTAAAGCACTGTGCACTAGATGCTAGCCAGGGTCTGGCGGAGAAGATCCGGGAGGGTCCAAGAGGGGTCTAATGCCGGCATTTTAAATAGCGCAATATAAGTGGCACAATGTGCAGCGCGATATAAGTAGCACAATGTGCCGCGCAATATAAGTAGCACAATGTGCCGCGCAATATAAGTAGCACAATGTGCCGCGCAATATAAGTGGCACAATGTGCCGCGCAATATAAGTGGCACAATATGCTGCGTGATATAGCTAGCATAGTTGATAGGTATTGCAATATAAGAGGTATAATAAATAGCATAATATATGGGGCACAATAGGCCCCGCAATATAGGCAGCCCAATAGGTGGACTGTGGCGTAATTTAAGTGCATCTATGCAGGACCTTACGCCAAGCTTAACACACCGCGTAAAGTCCTTTAGCAGGTGGCATGATAGTAATATTAGTACAGAATAACACCGTGAACCTATAGCCTTGATTTACATTGTCTCTATATATATAGATCGAGAGTATTCGATCCTAAAAGTACCAGTTTCTTGAACCCTTTTCCTGCTTAACCTATTATTTTCTACCCTCTATGTATCTCTCTGCAAAACTGTTATCGTCCCTTTTTCTGCTCTGGTAAGCATTCACGGTCTGTGAGAACTGTTGCTGTTACAGCCTACGCTAACCATCCTGTTAAGGCGTCTTGGTGCAGCTGACAAACACCATTATTGTGCCTGCGTGACTAGAAAGGGAGGACCTATTAACGTACCTGCAACTCTTAAAATAAACAGGGAATGCAGCAATGCGCTTGTATTAGGTACAATTTCTCCCTAATCACGCCCTTTGTAATATTATTTACTGACATTTTGATAGCTCAGGACAATGGGCAATACTGGTACGGGGGGCATACCCCAGGCCCTCGCCATGCTGGCATATTTGTACGTCTTTTGTTCTAAATGACGAGCGGTATAATAGTCTAACATAAACTCAGCTTAGCCTCCCTGATAAGAGCAAAAGGCTTGATGGAGATTATATGCATAACCTATGTAAAGCAGCTGGTGCACCGGATAGCGCTTGCTTTAACTGCGATTTCTATCAGGAAGACGAGGATGGAGGCATCCTGTGTCAACGTTAGACGCATCGCTGATGTTGTGCCAATTTGTAACATGATAAAATTTCCCACACGTTCTAGGTAATGCTGCTTTCAATGGATCAAGCGACTCTTGGTGTAAGGAACACTATCTAGCAGTTCTATATAGCCTCATAAGTTACGTTTTGTTACTAAGCTTTTCTCTCTATAAGCGTACCTAAGCCTGTCGTCACTATGGTAGTTAACCACCGTGCTAGCTGTTGGCTAAAGGGCCATTAGTCCTGCAAGGGGCGTACACTTGTTAGATGTGCTCTATGGTCGCTCATTCCATTACCGTGGAACCATCGGCTTATACCTACTTGTCTCTGTACAGGGTTTTGGCCAGCAATCTACTATGGCTAAACCAGACTTTTTACATTCTCGCAGCAAGTGATCAACTCCATGTTCAACACGCGCGGGATGTGCAACGAGATTTCAAAATCCTGCGCTTGAAGTACTATTCGAGCGGTTCAATTTCGCTGTTCTTATGAATGGGCGGGCTATCTCTTCATGCCATGCCTTATTTATATATTTTGTAGTATGTGAGTGAATGGGGGTGTGTGTGATGGGGAGAGAAGGACAGGGTCCAGAAGTGGGTTTTATGTGTGCGAGCAGTGCAAGTTTTACAAATAATCCAGTTTGGATCCATGCTTACCGAGGCTGCGCGCGCTAGGGCCGTGTTCAACCTATTGCCACCCCAACACTATACCAAGCACCACAAATACAAGGATATTAAGCTACCTATAGTAGGTATTATTATAAGATATTTTAGAGTAGTAATATATAGTAGTAGAGCTATTATATACTATTTATATTAGCCTAGTAGAATAATATTCTACCTGTAACAATAGGACAGAATTGTTCGCCTATTGTTCCATGCCAAGTTAACCCTAACAACAGCCTAACTCGCAGATGTATATAGAGAGCAGCTGTGGAAATTTAGATTACTAAGGTTAGGAATAATTTAGGAGATAGATTATTAGATTATCTCTACTACGATTGGACTTATATATATAGAGCTTTAGCTACCCTTACTAGAAGGTAAATAATTAGTAAACCTTCCTTACTAGAGCTCCTACTTTTTATTAGGCACTTAGCAGTAAGCAAGCAGTTAATTAGATAGTAGGTTATATAGGGGTATTAATTAGGATTAATTAGATTAAGATGCTCTATAATCTAGTTAATATCCCTCCTATAATACACCCCCTAGGTATAGGTAGATCTTTTATTATTATAGTTACGCTTATAGTTAGTAGGTAGTATAGCTAATTAGAGCGTTATATATCTAAAGCGTTAAATTAGCTTACCCTTTAGATACTAACTAGCGCGCCTTCCTTATTTAGCCTGCGCTTATATACTTAGATATTATCTAGACTAAGCTCTATAACTCTATCTACCTAACTATAATCTTTACTATAGCTTAAATTTTAAGATTATATAACCCTAAAGATCTAAACTATACCTATATCCCTACTAACCTATATCTTAGTTAAAGTTAAAAACTACTACTTATACTTGCTCTACCTATACTACCCTTATTACCTCCTGCGCTACTAAAGCTACTATTACTAAAGCTACTACTACTAAAGAAGAGTATACTACTACTAAGCGTAAGGCTATTATAGAGCGTGTAGTAGCTAAGTATATAGCTACTACTACTATAGTTAAGATTATAAAGCTAAGAAAGGGCGCTCCTACTCTAGCTCTTACTACTCTAGCTCTATATAAGGTTCTAGTTATAGGCAATAGTATTTACTTTATACTAGACAAAATAGTGTAGAGATAGCTATTAGTATAGTATTAACACAAGAATAATACTTATCCTCCTAAAACCCTACGCGAAGCGCAGGTTTTACGCACCTTAGTTACTAAGGCACTAAACTTAACTAGGGATGTGCCTAATTAACTAGAACACTATAAGGTGTCTTTATAATAGGATTATTATAGAACCTCCCCCTCTAGCTATAGTCCCTAGTAGTAACCTATAGCCTTAATAAAAACCTTACCTTATAGGAAAGGAAAAGAGTATCTATAGTTTAACTTATAGATGCGCTCTATAAGCGCTCCTTCTACGTGTTATATTTATTATAGGTGTATAGCGCGTGTATATTATTATACCTCTATATAGAGAGTTAGCTATTTACTTACTACTTAGTCTAGGGTCTAAGCTCTATATATTATAAATAAGTAAATACTTTATAGCTACTTACCTTAATCTCTAAGCACCTATAACGCACCTTAACTATATATCCTACGCCTATTAATATAGTTTACTATCTAAACCCTAAATATATTAAGAAGTTATACCTTTATAGTACCTAGCCCTACGCGTTTAACGTGCTAGCTAAGCGCGTAGATTAGGTAGCCCTAACTATAACCTACCTACGCTGCGCTTAAAATATTGCTAAGTAGAAAAAGGATTATAATATACCTAAGTATTATTACTATAAGCACTATACTACTAGTAACTATAATAGGTGTACTAAGGTTAGTACTAAAAGTTTACTTTAGGTACACTATAGCTAATTTCTATAGGTGCCCTAGGTAATAAATAGTTAATTAAATTATTTGTACGCCCTTTATACTAACTATAATACTATAGTTATAAATACTACTACTCTAAGGATAGACGCTAATATAATTGCTATAGGCGTTAAGCTTACACGCTACTAGCGCTAGTTTAACTTAGAGCTATTAAGCTACTACTATATTACTACCTATACTAGCACACCTTTAGGTGTGGCTACCTAGGTCCCTACTACTTTGCCCTAATTCCTTAGCCTAATCCTTATAGAGTAGTATTATAGTTATAGCTACGCTTAAGCAGATTATAGGCTACGTAGCTGTAACAATAAGGCAGAATTGCCTGCCTATTGTTCTATGCCAAGTCAGGCCTAATAAAGGCCCGACTCACTTATGTATATAGAGAACAGCTCGCCTATAGTTAGGATAGGCATGTTCTTCTTGTCCTTTTGTACAAGACCTATAGGTGTAGGAATCTTATCCTTTTCTGTATAGACGCGCACTCCTATATGCCTTTAAGTTATATAGGATACCTTTTAGATACCCTACCTACCTAAGTTGTTATATTATAAGAAGAATATTATCCTAGCTAGTAATAGTATTTAAGAATATCGCATTTGTTGTTATTTTAAGCTACTAATTTAGTTCTAGTAGCTACCTAACCCTGCAACTCTACAGTTAGAATAGCTATTAGAACTTCTAATAACTAAAGCCTATAGGCTTAGACTTCTAGACCTATAGGTAGTGCTAGATTACCTTTAGAAAAATCGCGTTAGATTACGTTAAGGTAGAGACCTAGAGACTACTAAAAGCCTAGAGGAATTAGAGGCAAAGCTAATATCCTCCTATAACTAAACCCCCCTAAAGAAAAGATTTGTTATTCTTATTAACTACAAAATATTAGATAAAGGTAAAGGAAGGGCATCTAGTTTAGCCACTTTTAAAAGCCTATTTACTAATAGAAAGAGATTAGATAAGGAAGACTTGATTAACAACGCCCTCCTTAAAGGACCTACTTCCTATCTATCTCTTAAGGTACCTTATGCTCCTAGGAAATCTTAAAGCAATACCTCCCTTAAAGATAAATATATATTAACCCTATCTAAAAAGGAGAGGTTAGAGGAATAAGTTAAGTAACTTACTAATTAGTTATACAACACCTCCCTCTATAAGGAGATATAGGGTACTACCTAACTTAGCTAGTCTTTAGCTTCTATATTAAACCCTATAGTGTATACTATAAAAGCTAAGAGATAATCTAAAAAGACGCTAAATATCTCTACACTTAGTAATAGTGCTAACCCTACTTTTAGATAATAGCAAGCATCTATTTAGGATAGGCTAGAGATTAACGCTAATTACTACCCCTCTTCTAGAGCTTAGATAGCGTTAGTCTAGGGACACTGCTTAGGACTAGCAAGAGAATACTTAGAGCCACGTTACCTATCTAATTCCCTAAGTCTTTAATTCTAAAAAGCTAAGGAAATAATTACCCTCCTTTAAACTTACTTTATTACTAGAAATAAGATAGCTAAGAGTTAGACTATATTTAACTGCCTGTATATAACTAATATAGAGACGTTCCCTGCTTTTAAGTTATAATTCTAGAGTCTTGCTATTAGAGGAGAAGTACCCTAATTAGAGTAGTATTACTACCTCTAGATAAAGATTACACCTTCCCTAAGGATGCTAAACCTTACTTTCTAATAGAATTAGCACAATAATTTTAAGACTATAGTAGATTATCTTACTACTTTTAATATAGAACGCTGCCTATACCCTACCTTATCTGCTCCTATCTAGACTACTCTATTATCTAGAAAAGGACTAACCCCCTTCTAACACTCTAGAAACTAGTCCTATTTAGACGCTAATTAGAAACCCTATAATAGACCTTTAATAGCTAAACCTTATATGCCCTACTTGTAATAATAAGGCACTACCCCTTAAAACAATTAACCCCTATCTACTACTCTAGCTACTCCTAGCGCTACTATAATAGGAACCCTAGTAACTTGCTATAATTATAGAAAGCCTAGGCACTTCTCTAGTAACTGCCCTAAACCCCCTAGGATTTGGGCTATAGATGTAGAATAGGTTGCTAAGAATTCTAAGGAAGAAGATACCGCTAAATTAACCAATTTAGATAGCTATTAGATAGGAAATAACAACGCCTAGGAGGATCCTCCTTTCTAGGCCTAACTTAATATAACCTGTTAAACCTTTCCTTAACTAAATTATTTATTAGTTCCTATTTACTTGCACGTATAACCCTGTGCCTTAATAGATCTAGTGTTTACCTAAACGCTTTAGTAGATACTAGGGCCTAAGGTTACTTATTTCTTAATTTAAAAATTGCTTATAATATCTCTTCTACGCTTAGGGTACCTATCTAAAAGCTACTATATAAGCTTACTATTAAAGGGTTCTAGGATTAGATTACCTCCCTAGTTGCCTACTATATTTGGCTTTATATAATAGTT